CAGCAGCGCATCAACGACAATACTACATAGATGGGGACAAAGTCTGCTGCTTGGTGTTTGTGAACTAGTTGGGCTCTATGAGGGGGCGTGGGGGGGTTGATTTCTAACAAATTTACATGATTAGTGTCGCATGTGTGAAGTGTGACTGGCACGCAACACCTACGGCGGCGCGTACTTTGACTGGCTGGTGGGTGAACAGCAAAAAGGGGGGGATTGATAGACACCCTTTGACAAGCTATTTGTTTTTTTTTTGTGTTCAAATGCGCTTTTCAATAATGTCTTGGAAGTGGTTTTCGACTGATTTACGGCGTTAAAGCCCTCAATGTGAGCCGAATTTTTGTTGGCGGCGCTGCTTCTAGTACACTGACCTGATATTTCTATTCGCTGTTGTGCCAGTAATTTTATTGAATTCAAAAAGCGCTGGCTAGTTTGTTTGTTATAAAAATAAACAAATTAAAATCCTTAAATAAATGTCAAAATATTGTAATTTATTGCTCCCCGATTGCCTCGCTGAGAATTATTTTGTTCTTAAAAATTGTGTGCCTCGAATTTAATTTCAATTTCCAAAAATGATCGTTATGAGTTTCCCGTCGAAATGTGAGTGGACAAGGCGAAATTCAAGGTGCCGTATATGATGGGCAGTATGATTGTATGTGCGCAAATTTGTTCGCATATAGCAGTTTTACAAATACACTTCCATGCATATAGTATTTACGAATTTAATTAGGCCAAGTACAAGTCAACATTTGAGTTATCAAAAACAATGGGTGCGCCGCTAATGCCACCAATGTACCTCCACCTGCATCACCACTACATCAACGGTAATCGTGGCTACTGTTTGTATGATTCAAGCCCGCTGAAGGGTACTTTAGTTTGTCTTATTCTATTTTATTGTTAAACGATCCATATCATGATTCGCTGCTCGTTTTCTGCTGGTTAGAGTTGCAGCTCAGTTAGATAAGCGGTTAGAAATTTTTTAGATGTTTTTAAGCAACATATTTTGCGAAGATTGTCTTGGTAATGCATATAAAATTTCCACTAATATTAGGAGAAAATATTTCGTGAATATAAGTTTGTATATACATTAAGATTTACGTGAGCTGAACCGTTTTGAAAATACCTCCAAATATCATGTTTTTTTTATAAATAATATTAGTTTTTAAAAATATTATTTCCAAAAAAAATAAACGCATAAGATCATAGAAGAGTTTAAGCTTAGAAAGACTGCATAAAAATGTTTGAAAATTTTATCAACGGAATCAAAATTTGGAATTTTTGGCTGAGGTTTCTAATTGGTCCAGCTCAAAAATATTATGTAATATTTTTCAGAATTATTTTGGCGGGATAATCTAAAAAAATATGAAAAAACGGCAACTTTTTTGTCAGACACCCTAATGTACATATATACATATAAGTTTTTGGGTCGCTGACCTCAATTTCGGTATCCAAATGAGGCCATCATGTCTAGATGAATGTCAAACGAAGACCAAACTCGTTAATTCAAATGATATAATATATACATATGTATATATTTTTTGATTCCGAGCAGAGAGATTAAAAAAATTTCATCTTTAGATAACCTCTAAACGATTTCCAGAGACCAATTTGACTAAAATATCAAACCGTATCTGGACGTAAAACTGTAAATTTTTTCTGATCCTTTTATAATAAAAAATCATAATTTAATCGTCATTTTGTGATTTTTATTTCTTCGATCATTTTTAATCGTTATTTCGTGATTCTAATTTTTTGATCTTCTGTATATGTTATTATGTGATTTTTAATTTTTCGATCATCTCCAATCGTTATTTTATAACTTTAATTTTTTCCGAATAGAAGTAATTGTTATTTTGGATTCTTATTTTTTTTTTGATAATTTTTAACCATTATAAGCGAGACTGCGTTTTTTTAACCGTTTATTATTTTTATGATTTTTGTGGTAGTATGAACTATATTTTTATACAAAATTTGCTAATTAAAATAAAAAGAAAACTTTGCATACATTATAAAAAATGCTCTGTAGGTAAATTAATAGTTATTAACCTTAGGCTTTTGCGACACTCCATTTCACTTCAATAGATACCAACTCTGTTCAAAGTTATCTCATTCTATCTTAAGATTTTTGAAAGATTATTCATATCTCTTAATAGATTTTGTCTTGGCAACTAAGTGATGTTACCTACAGTATTCTAACAATAATTATAGCTTCTCTATCTGAACTGTGTTGGACCGCAGAAACAACAGGTTTTAGTAGGAAAAAACTCTAGTCGCTTTGTGGGACATAGAACCGGCAGTTTTGGCAATGCTGCGTGGAACCGGTTGCCTTGGCACAAATTCGATTATGATTACCTCATCTATGTCTAATATTTGGTGATGCCTTTTCAAGTCGGTCGGGTCGAAACGGCTCATTTCTTGAGTTTACCATTCACTGCTTTGAATCGGTTTATTAAGCTGCTGGATGTTTTTCCAGCTGACCTAGTCTAGGACTAAGGAAACCTCCTGCCATGAAAAAGGTTCTAAAAAAATTCACTTGCCGTCCCGAGTCGGCGTAAAACTATAAATCCCTCCGCTTTGTGTGATAACCTCAAGGCGCTCAGCAGAAATCGGAGGACAGAAATCTCAATGAGGGTACTCCAACACACCAATTAAAGAGCTTTTAATTGATATCTCGAGGGAAAGACAGTTCTTACGGTTACCAAACTAGAGAAGTACAGCTAATAATTAGACAGACAACCAGTCATTGACTTTTGGTATTGATCCTTTGGTGCATCGTTTCTGGCCTGCAAGGCTCGTGCATGAGCAAGGCACTGTCATAAATTTGACTAAATTTCCTTAAGGGTGTAATACCCAAGCGTTTGCCATCTTCACGCTCCCCATAACGTCGTTAAAAGCAGGGTGGGACGACATCTTACATCTTATGTATTCCACGATCTTCGGTAACTTTTTGGACGAAACCATAAAAACCTAAATGATTGCATTAAGGGTTTCTATCTAATCTGACTTCTTTCATCGACTGAGAGGCATTTGCATTTTAAGTAAGGCCCAATATATATGTGGTGATTTGTGCATGACTCCGAATGGTGAAACTTTCACTTACCGCGCGTACACAAAGTAGTAATCAAAGATTCAAAATCATTCTATTAAAAACAAACCTCTTCTTTTTGTATCTGTTTGTCTTTAATTATGGTTGGAAGTTTTTGCTTCCGAACATTGTGTGTTTGATATGACATCCGCTTCTCATAGACTGGCTGCCATTTTGCTTGAAATTTGCCAAAAATTGTCATATTCAAATACTCACAAATACATTGCCATGCAGTATCGCTTTAGCTACTCTTTAATGCGCTACAAATGACGAACGGCGGCCTGCCAGCTCGTGTGCTGTCGATCGTTGGAGGTCTGCGCTGGCGCAATGCTGATTATGAGATTTTCCCAAGCGGTGTTTAGAAAATGTACAAGAAAAAAAAAAGATTTCTGTAATTTATGCGCTTCTTAGTCATCATTAGAAACTCGACTGAAACTGCTACTCTGCTCTTCGTTGTGCCACTGGCGGTTTGGGGGCTGTCGCTGTGCAGTCAACTGCTTAAGCTAACGCTTTGTTTTATGCTACCACTTGCATACATTTTAATGACTTCATCATTAGCCAGCGACTTGGCTCAACTAGTAGCGCGACAGTTTGTGCGCAGTTGGTTGGTTGGCTGGTTAGTTGGTTACTTGGTGGTCGTACGACTTCAATTCCTCTAACTCACTTTTGTGCGGCGTCACCTGAGCGTCGCGACGCCTTGGTGCCCTAGTCGAGTAACTTCTCTTTGATTTTTGGCTTCTGACTTGCCTTTCCTTTATTTTGCTTTAGCTTTTTGTAGGCATTTTCCTTTTTGTTTTACTTCTGTGAAGCTTCTTTGTTTTTGTTGGCGTTTTTTCACACGCAACACACATACATACATACATATCTAGTATATTATTTTCTGTTGCTTTTCCCATGATTATATCGCGTGAGCATTTGAAGCTCAACCTCAGAGCTGCGGCTCAGGTCGCCATCTCGACCGCAACATTCAAGTCGAAGCTAAAACGCATTTGAGCTTTGGCGCTTTTTCGCTTTAAAGTTTAAACTACATAAATTTTTCACATAATTTGAGTTTCATTTGTTGTTGCTTACTTGCTATGATTTTATGCTATTTAATGCTTTATTCGAGTATGTTATACATAATTTGTGTTTTTTTTTTTTAATTCAGCGCATCGTTTTTTTCCACTTTGCTTAGTGAAATCTTGGCTAGCAGTTATGTCTGTTTGATTTGAAGTTTTTTTCTCGAAGTTTTAATTTTGCATTTTTTGTTGCAATTTTTTATTTTAGTTTTAGTTTTTGTTTTGGCAATAAAACTCACATTGCAAATAATTTGCTCAATTAAAGCCTGGTCTCTGCCAAGTTTGCAGCCAACCAAATAAACACGATCCGCCATTCAGTCGTTCAGTTGTTCATTCATTTGCAATGCCATCCATCATCAACTGGTTGGTTGAATGATTGAACAGATAGATAGATGGCTACTTGGCTGGGGACTTGTTGTTTTCTTGCACTCGCGTTATGCGGGCGCGCATGCGCAGCAACGAGTAAGCGCGCCACTAAAGCCGTGCGCAAATGGCGCCGCGCGCATGCGCATGCGCTTACAAGTGAACTTGCGGCTTCTTTGTGGCACATAACTTACTTTGAATATTCACTTTAGAAAATGTATTAAATATGCATACATACATCCATATATAATTTGCATAAATTAAGCATTCAGCTTAACGTACAATTAAATAAAATATAAATTTTTCGTATACAAAACAATTTCACTTTAAAGTTCAGCGCTGATTACCAACATACATAGATATCTTTTTATCCGAAAACAGTTTTTGTTTTAAAATTTTTGCACATAATTATATATGTATGTACTTTTGCAGCATATGTTAGCACTTGCTCGACCGCATATTTAATTATCATTTGTGCTTTCTTTCTTCACTTGCAGACGTTTAGCGAAAAACTACCAGCCCAAAAAGAAGGAGGAGGAAGATAATGAGTGAGTATTTTTTTTTATGTTTATTTTTTATCTTAATTTTCTTATTTATTGCCATTAACTTGTATTACTAACACACATATTTATAACTAGATATACATACGTATATAATTAATTTGATTTGTTTGGCTTTGTTCGAACTGCATTTTCATGTCTTTATTTTGTTGCATGTAAAGCAACAAGAAACGAGTTAAACCCCGCCCCTCCTCCTCAGCCTTGCGCTTGCGTGCAAAATTCGCTTCGTATATGTATTTATGTAGGTACATAGCTCGTCTCTAGCCTGTCTTCTTCTTCTGCTTTTAAGTATTTTTATTACAATTACTATTTTTAAATTGTTTTGATTCGCGCTATTAGACGAAGCATTTTCATGCACCAGTTGCACTGGCTAGTAGTTTACTCAAGCGGTTAGCGGTTTTATTAATACTAAATACATATATATGTATATATTTTTTGCTCCTTCAGTAGTTGCTAACCGCCTTATTTACGTGCAACAAATAAGTTTCTAAAAGTTAGCCTTCCTAATTATTTTCTAGTAGCAGTTTTAATTTGCATTCAACTTTCTTTCATTGCTAACAAAAAGTAGCTTAGTAATAAAGGTAGGTAATTTTAGATTTTTTAAAAACTAAGAATCTAGGCTAGGCTTGGCGAATGTTTAGATGAAAGGAAGTGGTAATATGAGCTTTCAAGCTCCTACAAATATGTTACTTTAGACTCGGCTGGAAATCGAAAAGCAGTGCGCTTTCTCAACGAATGAAAATTATGCTCGTGGACGATGTCGTAGAGTGAGAATGAGAAGGCTTTGAGGGCTTTCGAGAGAATTACGCTAAGCAAGATCTAGGACCCTATTAGCTTAGCGACGGGCATTGAGAGAGATATGGACAAAAGGAAACGCATTCCGATTCAGCATTTGCGATGACTAGGATATGTCCTAGTTCGGTAAAAAATATTTATATTAGGCTTCTAGGTGTGAACGAAGAAAGCTAGCAAGTTCCCTGGAATACAACGGAAGGAGCAAGTACAAAATGCCATGTCTTCACTTGGTGGGGCGCAACTGGTGGCGACAAATAAGAAGCTTGGAAGTTGATTTTTTGCTTCAAGTCTTAGCGTACATACCTAAATATTAGAGCCCTAGGCTCCTTTTAATCCCTAGTTAGAAGCGAGTTTAGCATGGTGCCGGAAATGATGTGCTTTCGATGTACTCCTTCCTTCCTGTTTACCTGTGTATTATGCAGAAATTTTTTTGCTTTGTTTAATTTTATCATACTTTTATATTTTATTTTGTTTCATTCTTTTTTTTAATGTTATGTTGTTTTACTCTTTTTTTATTCCATTTTGTTTCATTCTTTTTTAATTTTATTTGTTTTTTTCTTTATAATTTATTTTTGTTTTTTTTTTTTATTTTAATATTGTTGAAAGTTTTTAATATTGTATATTTTTTTATTTCGTGTTTAAATATTTTTACTTTATTTGTCTTAATTTTGCATTTTTAATTCTTTGCTTTCTTTTATTTTTGTATTCCTATTTTTAATTACTTATATATTTTTTTAAATATATATTTTTTTTGTTTTCTACTCTATCGTTTTTTACTTATAAGTATATATACATGCATACATATATGTACATATGAATTTATATATATATATCACTAATAAACCATTCAGACAACATATTTAAAAAGTAATTTTCGCAAATTTTATTGGCCTCAATCCAATTTTAGCGTATTTTCCATACATTTTTTAAATGTACATGAAGTGGTGGAAAAATAAACAGCGACGCGACATTTTAACAAGTTTTGCCATTTTGTCTTAAAATATTTAAAAATTTTTTGAAGTTGCATCTAGATTTTCAGTAAAGTAAAGTGTAAGTTTTAAGTTGCTATAAAGCAATTTTTTCACGCATTTTCTTACACACAAAGTTTGTTCTACATTTTTTTTTGTATGGGAAAAAGTGCGTAATACAGACAGAAAAACGATATTTTATTTATGTACTAAAAAAAATTGCAAAATCTTAGCAAAAATTTGAAAATTTAGATACAGATGTGCTGAATTTTTATAATTTTTGCACAGAGTTTGAAATATGAATAAATTATAGTTTATAGATAGAAAAAAACAATAGAAATTAAATAAATAAAAGAAAAACATACTCACAAATTAGAAATCTGAGATATTCAAATCTTCCAGAAATTAGAATTAAAGATTGCGAATTATTAAAATCTCTAATTTCTGGGCGTGTTTTTGTTTTTTGTTTTGATTTGACCACAGGAAAACCCCTATTTAGTTGTATTTTGTTTGAATAAAGTAAAACTTAAAAGGGGAATCATCAATTTATCTGTTAATCGTTTTTTTTAAATTTAATTCAAACCATATATTTTTAATAAAAAAAAACAAAAAAAAAATTTTCACATTCGAATAAAAAAACGTTCAGAAATTAGAATATTCAAGAAATTATAACTACCTTAAAAACAAAGTAGGTATAATTGGCGAGCGTCTACTGTATACAAAATTTGTTAATATTTATTTTTCCACCAGTGTATATACACGCACCAGAATATGTTCCGTACAGTGTTTTTTTTTTAATATTTGCAATGTTTTTCGTAATAAATTTTTTTCGTCAAATGGCATATAAATTAGTGATTACAAATTTTTACAAAATTTTGGAAAATTCGACAAATTTTCACCAAAATTTTCAACTTTTAAACAAAGTTTTTTAGAATTTTTTGAAGCATGTAGTTTGGTAGTTCACTCAATTACAGTATAATTTTTGAGAAAAAAGCTATCACGCATTCGTTATATGGAGAAAATTTGTCGAATTTATCTAAATTTTGCAAAATTTAATTTATATACGATATTACGCAAAATGAACTATATTTCTATTAAAAATTAACGAAAAAAATTTATTACGAAAAACATGGAAAATGCTAAAAGAAAACACTGTACGGAAACAAATTCTGGTGAGTGTATATATGTATGCAAGTACGTATGTATATAAAAAAATAACAAGAAAACTTCAGTATTTGGGGCCACTTTTTTTTAAATATTCCAAAGTAAACAGTTCTGCAATTTTCCTTGCCATACAATGAGGATAAACTCTCAACAACGTCTAATGATTTTGCACAAAAACAATTTTTTTTTTGCAAAAAGAGCACTGCAGTGCCAGTGAAGAACTTACGACGCAAAATGGGGAAGTTTTGTTTACAACAAAATTTAAAGCCGCCCGGCATAAATTTTCTGTATGTATGTATGTAATATTTGTACTTGAAATCTGAATAAGTAAATACTTTTTTCGTTGCTGTTTAGCTTAAATTTTTTTATATATTTTTTTATATATTTTTTTATTTTAGCATTTTCTTTATCTTTATTTATATGCAAAGCCGGTTCACTGACCATTCATTCATTTTAAAAACTTAAATATTTGTTGTTCTTTTAATATTGCGGCGAGTGCCTTCTTTGGCCAGTTCGCTCGCGGAAAATATGCATTTTTCTGTTATTTAAACATTTTTATTTTTAAACACCTATGTATGTAGTACATTTGTATGCATATAAACAAGAATTTTGTGGCTGTGTGCTTGCCATTGACGTAACAGATCGTTTAAGCGCGTGGGCGTTTGCTACTCGAAATATTCCACTTTTGTGCGGTTGTAAAATGTTTATTCAAATCATGGGAAACTTTATGTGCATACACCGGCACATACAGTGCTTATGTCTACATATGTATGTATTTTTATGTTCCTACGCATATTTTTTTTGTAGCCAAATTGTGCTCATCAACGTTACGACTTGACGGCAATTAATCCATTTTTCCGCTTGTAAAGCATTCAATTAGCGGCGAAACAAACGCGTATGTATAAGTGTTCTGACGGAAATTTGGAAAAATAAAAATAAAAAAATAAAATTGTTATAGCCGGCGCCTATTTAGTTAAATGCATTCAAAGTATTTACTTTTTAAGTGCAGTGGAATGCACTGACTTCCTCACTCCCTCACTCTCTGGCTCATTTCGGAGTTTCGTAATTTTTATATTTCCAGTGTGCCTCTTATGCGCAAGTGTGTTGTTTTTGTTCATTTTTATGCACTTGCCATTTGCACTTGGCGCCACCTACCGCGGCACGTTCCACTGCCATTGTCTATTACATACTCGTCGCCGCAGCCTCTGACGTCACATTGCTCATACGCCACCGCCTCCTTCTTCTGTGAGTATCCATTGTTTGTTCGTTTGTTCATTCGCTGCGTATGTGTGTGCGTGTCGTCTGCTTTTGCTCCTCTTTCTCCACCTCATTATATAAAAAAATGTGTGCGTTCCGCTGCTTCCATTTATGGCTGGCTTGTCACAACTTCGATTGACAGACATCTAAAATACGCCTTGCTTAGCTTAGCTCTCAGCCAATGACTTAAGCGTGACAAATTGCACATAATTTGCATTTGAATGTTGCAAAGTGGTAAGCTGGATGAGTGATTAGAATTTCTTTGCTGAATAGGTTATACACAAAAAGACATAAATAAAGAAATAAGTTTTGCTAGACTGGCATAGTCATATCAGGAAATGAATGAAATTCTTCATAGCTAATGTTATTCTTCAAATTAATGTTATTCTTCAAATATTTTTATTAACTTGATAGATAATAAGGAAATGTTTAAAGCTCAATTTGTTTAATGCCTGTCATTCTATCTTCGTTAGACTTCTTCTAGAAAACTTGTTTTTTTATAATAATTTTTAAAGTTGCTTAGTCTAGGTAAGCTTGCACATTATTGAGCTGCTAAGAAAAGCTCGCAAGTGTATGTGGCTAGTAACTACTTAAAAGTGTCCCTAAAGAGGGGTAAAGAGGGGAACTTAACGTCTTGATTTCTGATTGCTGATCAGGCGGCGATATATCTACTACACCTTATCCACCCATCGTCATGTGAGCAACGGAAAAAGTAGCAGTTGAGGCAAATGCACATCCCTAAAATTATTCGGGTACGAGGCAAGAAAACCTCCAAAATCGTGCCATCTTTGTTAAAGAGCCAAAATTTGTATGAATTTAATATAATTTAAAATATTGTTATTTAATTTTTAATTTTTTAATAACATATTTTATTTTCCTAATAACATGTTTTTATTTTTTAGTAACATATTTATATTTTCCTGTAATATTTTTTAAATTATTTTTAATTTGATGAATATTTTTTCCTTACTTTTAATTTTTTTTAATTTCTTTGAAATTTTTCTTTTAATATTTTTTAAATGTCTTAATTCTTTAAAGTTAATTAAATATTTTTGTTTAATAACATATTTTTATTTTCTTAATAACATGTTTTTATTTTTTAATAACATATTTTTATTTTTCTTGAATTTTTTTAATGTGATGAATATTTTTTCCTTAATTTAATTTTTTTAATTTCTTAAATATTTGCTTTTTATTTTTTTAAATCATTTGTTAAATACTTTTTCTTTGATTTTTAAATACTTTTTCTTTGATTTTTAAATACTTTTTCTTTGATTTGTAAATACTTTTTCTTTTATTTGTAAATACGTTTTCTTTGATTTTTAAATACTTTTTCTTTGATTTTTAAATACTTTTTCTTTTATTTTTAAATATTTTTTATTTATTTTTATGTTTTTTACTTTCTGAAATAATTTTGTAAATATTTTTTAAATTTCCTAATTTTTCAAAGTAAATTAAATATTTTTGTTTAAGTTTTTTAAATATAATTTGTTTTTAATATAACTGAAATAAATTTTAAATTTTTTAAATTTGATTTTTTTTTTATTGATGTCTAACTTAATTTTTTATTTCATAATAGCTGGCCTTTAAAATTATTACTGGCAACGCTGTGGTAAATAATTACGTTCCACATTGAATTGTTAGCGCTCTCTTTGTTTTCTACATGCTCTGTACCACTTAAACAGACACTTACTCAAACTTTAGTTGTTGTGCCTTTTGTTGTTTTGCCCAGTTTGCGCAGCTTTTATGCGCATTTTCATATACGACAGCTCCGCACAAACATGTGTGTGCGGATATACCTACACACATATGTATGTAGCTGCATGCTTGTAAACACAATAATGACGAGTAGCGAGTAAAAATACATGCCAGCACAGTGCATGCCAAAAGATGACGGACCTGCATATCTGTTACTTCAAAAACTGGAGTGCAATTATACTAGTGTAAATAACTATTTATATTTATGTTATTTTTTTCCACAAATTTATTTATTTTTCTTAACTAACCTATTTATTGAATTTAATTGTTTTCGTAAACAAGCTAATTTTCTCATTTCTGAACAAATATCTAAAAATTTGTGTTTTCAATATTCCTTTCCAGATTTTCATCCTGCCAAGCTTTTCGCAATGTTCTAAAAGAAATCAACGATTTAGCGGGTCAGCGCGAAGTAGTCGCCGAATCACTGGAACAACGCATCGCACAAGGCATACAAGTGCTCTCCAAAACGTTACGAGATGAACGAAAAGTGAGGCATCCCCAAAAAAAGGAAATCTTCTATACTTATCAAAACAAAAAATCTAATTTCTCTTGTTTCTCTTCACAGCGATGTCTCAATGAAGGCACCTCCCTACAACAGACACTCACCGCACAGTTGGGCGCACTGGATCGCGCCAAACGCAACTATGAGAAAGCGTTCCGCGAGTCGGAAAAAGCGGTGGAGAATTACAAGAAAGCCGATATGGATCTGAATCTGAGTCGAGCTGAAGTGGAGCGTTATAAAAATATAATGACGGCGAAAATACAACAATCGGACGATGCGAAAAACGAATATGCCAATCAACTGCAGAAGACTAACAATTTACAACAGCAACACTACAGTGTAATGTTGCCAGCGGTGAGTGGAAATTTCAAAGCAAAAAAGCAATTTAAAAATGGCATAAATAAATTTCAATAATTGTTTTTTTTTGCATTGCAGGTTTTCAATCGCCTCCAAGAGTTGGATGAGAAGCGCACAGGCGGCATACGTGAATTCATAATTGGCACCGCAGAGGTTGAATCGGCCGTAGCGCCTATTATTGCACGGTGCATGGAGGGTATTGTTAAGGCGGGCGAGTCAATAAACGAAAAGGAGGACTCCTTTAAAGTCATAGAAAGGTTGCTGCTGTTGTCAATTTAAGCTTTTATTTATTTATTTATTTGTATTTGGCAATTTGCAGATATCAATCGGGCTTCACACCACCAACTGACATACCATTCGATGATTTGTCAAAGCAAAATCTTGATTCATCATCAGATTCCCGTGTGCAGTCAAGTCATTTCACCGTTAAGGGCACCATTAGCACGAGAGTCAAGAAACGCCCAGCGATTTTCAGCTTCTTCGGCAGCAATAAGGTAAGTGCGTAGTGTAATTTTAGATGTGATCGGAAAATAATGGTTTTAGAATGGTATTAATATACAGAATTTTAAAATCTGAATGTTTAGATTGTGTAACTCGTGTTTGGTGAAATAACTCAAATTGGCTCACAGCCTGTGAAGTCGATGTAGACTAGAAATGTTGACTCCTAAATAGGATTTGAAGAGTAAAATTTTTTTCTCCAAAGAAATGTAATAGTTTGTTGATTTCAAATACATACTTAGAATGCATACACTGTTATAAAAATAAAAAAAAACAGGCCGAGGTGAGAATGTTTTTTATAACACCTAAAAGAGTACAACAGGCAATTCCAACAGTTGTCGTTTTTTTTAATCGCCGGCCGCTTTCTATGTTTGATACGCGGATTTCAGACAATCAACATTTCGCTAGCTTAGAGTGAAAATTGCTAAGTCCGCTTTGTGTGAAAACTCAAATTTTAATATAGGTACTTGTTTTATTTTTTCTCTTTTATATTCAATGGAAAGCAAATTTGTCAAGCCCAAAAGAGGCACTGAAAATTCAACAAAATCAAAATAATACGAAATATTTTAAAAAAGATGGAGTCCTTCTTATTCGTATGTAATTTTACTTTGCTTTAAACACGCAAAATGTTGTATTCAAAGATTTGCAAAATAGTTGAAGAAAATGGCTATAAGAATTAAAAAAAAAAAAAAAAAAAAATGGACTTGGCAACTTTGCACTCTAAGCCAGCGATATACGTTTCTGGAAAGCGACTTCAATGATTGCCACTTTAAATATTCAAAATACTCTCCTACTTATGGCTTGCTAATACCACCTTTCTCAAGCTTTTATCAATGAAATTTTATACCAGAAATCGACAGTGAGATTCTAGAAAATAAGTGTACTTAAAAATGTGCCCACCGAAGGCTTAATAAGCTTAATATGAAATAGGTGTCAAGTGCAGACGTTGCATACATTCAGGCACAGCTATTATTTATGGAAAAGATTTTATAGGGGTTTAATGTAGAGATTTCTGGTAACCCTATGCGCTCCAATATTACGCCGAAGATATTCCCCGTATGAAAGCCACATGGTAAAGAAGAGCACAGACATTTTTTTTCGTAAGTTTTATTAGCTGTTTAGGGAAATATCAGAAGTCAATTAGCTTTAACAGAAATACTTTTTTGTGCCTTAACAACTTATAGAACACATTTCTGCAACAGACCAAAACCATTTTATGTATATGAAGAACTCGAGGTATCTCTTTCCATTCCAAGCCGTTTACATATTTGTTTTTACTCCATTTGTAAAATCATTTCATGCTTTCTTTTTGTGTTTCTTTTTTTTGTAAATTTATTTAGTTTCTATGCACTTTAGTTTCCTATTTAAACACAAAATTTTTTTTGTTTGTTTGTCTATTACAAACGCTTTGGTTGTTGTTATGCTTTCCATATTTATCTCATAATGTCTTTTGTCTCTCTTTCTACTTTTTGTGTTGATTACCTAATGGATTACTGGGTACGCTCTTGCGAAATCACAATTCAATCTCTGCAAAACAAAAAAAAATTATACTTATATCGCCAACAACAAAAATGTATGTCGAAATTTACATAAATATGTGTTATGAATAACCTCAAAATAATTGGAAAATTTGTGATTCCATACAAACGACGATTTAAATCTTTAATGTAAGTACCTACCTAATGTGCGTACAGCCTCAGCGTTTATACTTACATACATACATGCATACGTGTTTCATGTACTTGTAGTGTTTTGTTGTCGTGCAACTATACATACATACATATCTCCATAGTGGAAATTTTGGTTTGGCATTAAGCTCGGTGTGCTGTGGAATTACTAAAAATTTAAAATTGTAATACTTAACAACTCGAAAATTTATAAAGTTTAGTTATGGGTTCGAGCTTTTCGAACCTTTTTCATTTTTTTAGTAATGCCTTGTCATTTTATTTGATGTTTTATTAAAATGGTTTTCTAATTTAAATTTAAGCTCCATAACATACCGAGCATTTAACACATTTTCGTACAATTTGACATTTTAATTCACTGTTGTTGCAAATCTACAGCTTTCAAATTTGTCACTGACATAATTGTAGTAAATAATATTCTAACATCTTAACTCATCGGACTGTCACTGAATCCATTGTAGCCGGATTTTTCGTGATATCTTCGAATTGGAAAAGATATGAACGTTGCTATGCGCGTTTTTATCAATTCGTAGATTTCACAAAAGTCGGAGTACAATAGATTAAGTGATAGCTTTGCATAAAAAATAAAGTACCTGTGTAAGGCTTTATAAATACCCAAATTGTATGAAATCATCACTTTTATAAAACGTTGCCAATCTTTTTTATTTTGAAAGAATTTGGTCATAAAAAATGCATACCCATATGAATTGTGTTTGTCTACCATATAGTCGTTTGTTTATAACACGCAATGCAGTTATTGAGCGGTGCTTTCTTTCTAAACATGGTTTATTGTTATTTAATATGCTTTGTTACTTCTTGGTTTTGGTTATTTATATTCTATTGGACTCACTATATCTTTATGGCCTTATTCATAAAAAATAAAGTAGGTTTAATTAAAGAGCTCTATAAAATAACATTTTTCTACATTTTTCAGCTTATAAACCTTTTTTGAAGCTACTTTTTTATGAATAAAGCCATTCGTGTATGGTATTGCTGATATTGGTTTTTTACACTTAATTTTTCACACAGCTCCACAAAAAAAAAAGACTTTGTCCTGGGAACGAGAGTAATAGTAGTTCATTTTGACCAAGTCTTAGCTGCTGTTTATGCGTTTTGGAAAACGGAGATTACCACTCGAAGGGAGTAATTGCTTATACTAAGTACATGCAAATGAAAATAAAAAGAGCCAATTGTAAGAAGTAAACCTTGCCTCTCACTCCCTGTTAAAATTTTTGGAACTTTTCTGAGCTCGTACTGCAGTTAAGCTTTTGGTGGAAATGGCCTATAAGCGTCGCTGAGTCCGATACTGCGATCAAAACTCAAAATCTGCTCTTTTTCTACATATATTTATTGTTAGATTTTTGAGTTTGGAAACAAATATTGGGCCAACCTTAGCATCCTGCCTTCAGATTCAGATGCAGCGACTCAAACTCTGTATGAACTGATTATTCTTGTGCTGTGGACGATTTTTTTTTTATGGGCCTACGTTATTACTATTTTTTATACCTTTCTGTAGGACATTTATAAAAAATCTGTATACAAAATTTTTTTTTTAATGTAAGCAATCTAAAAAAGTGTTTTGTACACTTTTATTTTTCTTTTTATACTTAGAGTACATACACTTCAGCTTTCGAAGAACATCGAATGAATAGTGGGATGAATTTACTTTGCTAGGGATGGGAAAGTTATTCAAAAAGCAAATGAAAGATGAGATAGTATAAAATTGTATATTTAAGTAATAATTGCATCATTTAAATTAAATACTTATACGCTTCCTCAGCGCCCTTTACAAGGTTTGGGTATTTACGGTAGGCTTTAACCTAATTTTAGTCAGAAACGAATTAAAACAGAAAGGTTTTCCAGGCATTTCATACTTTTTATCGTTTTATTTCTTTTACATAGGACTCTAATTTTTGACATTTAAGTCGGATAAAAATAGCACTCAGAAACCTTCTAATAGTACGTTGTGTGGAAGCCATAAAATAATGTTCTCTAAAAAAAAGAAGCTTTTGCTTCATTGTTTGGTTGGAATCCTACAAGAATGCAGTCGATTTGAACGGATCCTTAGCTTAGAGCCGGCATGGAGTTTTCGATTTTAAATCCTACACGGGATGCACTGTTCTGTGACCCATATTAATGTTCAATGAGTTGAAAAAACACACGAGTGAAGATTAGTCGCAATCTGTAGCATGCTGGGCTGTGACACAGGTGGACCTTATGGTTGCATGTTTTTCTCATGTGTAGGCATGCATCATTTTGCATAAGTCCTAGTTTGGCGATGTGAGTTGGTATAAGACAGCCTACCGTAAGTATCCCAGGCACTGGGTCCCACCACAGTCGGGTATACCGAACCGAAAAGTCTCAGATCTCCAGCTGATTCCCCAAAAAACAAGGAGTTCCTTTTACTGCCTAATATTATATGCGTCGATTGAATCGAAGTCTGCCCATCTTTTTCTATTACTACACGAGATCATTTCTTAAATTCCGTTTTGGGGAAGGAGGTAGCCTTAGCATTCGTACAGCCCTCTAATATTACTTTAACCGTATGACCATATGTACAGCCATATCCGCTTAGAAATAATAATGATTTTAGGAAACCGCCTTTAATGACAAATGCATCGCAGAATAATTTATTTTTTGAAGGAACTAAAAAAGAAAAGTGATTGAAAAGTGAACTTCTTTAGCGCAGATGTAACGATGGTATGCTGGTTATATTCCGTATGACAACGAGCTAGGTCTCATGCCTTACCGAGTATTTTTTTTGCATGCCTTCAAAGCATTGGAAGTTTCCTTAATCCTACGAAATCCCTTTATTTTCTAGTAAATATGTATTGTCTTTAGGCATCTTTTATTTACTCGAGAATAGTGCGAAGTGCGTTATGATTTACATCCAGTCCCACCATCTTGGCTAAGTTCTAGAATTCATTTTCCACCATGGTGGCCGGCATTTTCCTTTAGGCCTCAAATGAAAACAGGATCGTTAATAAGCTAGGAACGTCTTGGACGTCAAAATTTCCATTCGAGAATTCTTACACAGCGAGTTCCCAGTGTGTATTTCTGCAGATTTTGTGTAAAATACGCTTTAAACTAATGTAGCTGTAATGAGAGAAGGTTTTCCAATCAGAATCGCTGTCGTAGAAAAGATTTCGCTGAATAAATCCACTTTGTAGGAATATTACCCCTATTGCTATATTAACGTTGTGTTTCAAGAGTATATAGGCAAGCAAGAAGGAACTCGCACCTATCGTTTTTATCCTTGCTGCTCCACCAAGGTGGTTTGCAGCTTCAGCTCTTCGATCGCCGCCTTATCAGGTAGCGCTACCAAATCTCAAAATTCTGCGCCATATAGCAAACTTGATAATTTTTTAACTTTCTATAGGCAACGTTGCTGTAAATGCTTTTGCGCGAATCGTGTTCATACATGTTACGGATAATAGAACACTTGCCCTGCGCGCTACGTTCAAAGCAACGGGAAGAGATAAGCTATAGCAAACTTTTTCAGATGTTTTTTTTTTTTCAGCTATCAACAGTAAACTTATAATATAATTTGAGTGTCAGAGTTAATGTATACCCTTAGGCGCACTATCATTTATGCGCAACATTCATTGATACGTCTACATCTTAGAAAATATATACATCTGTTTATATCATATTGCAATATAATATCTACTATTACGTTTTTTTTCTTTCCCCTCTCTCTTCTTAACCACCTACAACACAACCTCTTTTCGTTGTTATTATTGGTTTTATTAATTTTAATGCGGCTTTACACTCATTTTGTTAACTTGCAAATGTATATATTTGTATGCAAAAAATTATCAAATTTCTTTTTCGCAAAATCAATAATTACAAACAAAAAATTAATATTTTCTTACTTTTTTACTAAACGACAAACCAATTTTTTTTTTTGAACACACACTTCTTATCAACTACAACTACTACAACACACCAACCAACTACAAAAACAACAAACACCTTTATACCACATGCGTATCGAAAACATCACCGCCACTATCACAACGTAACGCTTATGAAAAAAAAAAAACAAATACTCAAAAACTGAAAAAAATGCAACTTAAAAAAACTAAAAAAAAAAAAAATATTGTGATACAATTTCAAAAAACTATCTGTCAATAGCCACAGAAGATTTATGAAGCCTGTATCACCATGAAGGTATGAATAATTTTACGCTGCTTTTCTAACATTTCTAATAAACAAATACTTACTAAGCAAAATAACACTTCACTAATAGTTCTACTTTTAAGCGTGTTTCCATTTACTACTACTACTAGTGCTAATAACTAACTATTGTAAAATTATTGAAAATTTTAGCAAACAAAATCCTCTAATCACTAACTATTTAATAAACTTTCAGCTCTCTTACTACCACAATCACCACTACTTTTTGTAATTTTGTTAAAATACACCTAACAGTTTTTAATATTCATCACACACACACACACACACTTACACGTATATACTTATGGGTTTATTAACGGGCAGGGGCGCTAAAAGTGTTGAGCTTATGCAATTTTTTCGCGCTTATCACTGAGCCTTACCACCCATTTTGCTTACTTTTCCTATTTTCCACACCTTTTCATATTAACCTTTGCCTAAACACTCACAAAATAACGTTTTATTTTTGATAACAGCTGCACAACCGTTTTTGATTTTTATTTTTGGCTGCATAGCTGCAGGCGTATTTGATTTTTACTTCTACGCATGCGCACAAATTTTGTGTTTTTAAATTAAAAGAAAAAAAATAAAAATCTTGGAAAATATCAAACGACAGCCATTGGCGCACAATCATCATCCCACGACACCCTGTGTTGTCCAGGAGTAACCCCAGATTTTTATTATTATTATTAGTTTTTTTTTTGTACTCCACATAAATACATATGTATTGTTTAGTGTTCGTTTCGCTCTCGAGCTCTTTTTCTGTTCAATCACCCATTTATTGTTCTCAATTAATACCTACACTACACTCCATAAGCACTTATCAGTTTGTTAAGTGATCGTTCGCAAAACAAAAAAAAAAAAAAAAAAACAAAGTAAATAACTACACTCCCTTCCACCACGTTTAATTTTTTTTTTCTTTTTTGCATTGTTCACCTACCGTTTCCTTAGAATTCGCTAACGGCGGACGGACAAAAGGAAGATTTCAGCGATTTACCACCCAGTCAACGGCGCAAAAAGCTACAAGCTAAACTTGCCGAACTACAACACAAACTCAATCAGGAGGTGGCCACACGTGATGGTCTGATGAAAATGAAAATGGTCTATGAATCGAATTCATCGCTGGGCAATCCAATGACCGTCGAAGGTCAACTCAATGAGTCCGAGCACAAAATGGAAAAACTGCGTATGGATCTGAAAAAGTTCCAAGGCTATTTGGAGAGCGCGAATCAAATACCATTGGCCAGTAATAGTCCGCAAGCGAGTCGTAATCACATACAGAACGGACATCGAACATCAAGGTGTGTGTGTGTGTGTGTGTGTGTGTAAATTTAATTTATAAATTTCCATACTGTACAATTTTAATTCGAAAATTCATTTTCTTGCTTGTAGACATTCCAATGGCAGTGCCGAGGACCACAACGATGAGGGTGAAGATCATCCCGATGATGGTGGCAGCTTAAGCAGGTCAGGTTCAGAGGATAATGTGGCGCAAATACAAAATGGGCATAATAATAACAATAACGGGTACACTCATAAGTCGTATGTTGCATAGCTTTAGACCATTTGCCATTTGTTTGTCTTTTTTCATTATGTGAATTCACCAATTCGTTTCATTCAATTTATTGTCAGTTCCTTTTTGCGAAAATTCTTTGCCCATCCTCATTTTATTTCCTTTGTAAAAATGCGCACACAAATCTCCTCGTATTGTTTTTTTTTATTATTTTTTTTTTATCATCACTACTAACAATTTTCACATACTCGAAATTATTGGTTTTTGAAATTTGCATCCTCTTACATTCGAAAGTTATGTTTGTAGATTTATTTAGAATTCCATTGAGTTGACAGGAAACTTAGGCTCATTCTATGGTAATATATTAAAATTAATGTTAAGCTCAAAACTAAGCTGTAACAGGCCCTTGAAAAACAATCGTACAAAACTTGCATCAATTGCCGAGATCTCTAACATTTTTTCATCAAAACCATTGAGGTGTACAGGGCTAGCACTGAATACGAATGGCTGCGAACGTTTTGCATTTGTATCATTGCAATTCGGACTATGTGATCGCATTTTCGTAAAATAAAGAAATACTTTAGATTTCATCAGACTTTGGAATATATTCAATATCAACCGTCTTAATCTGAATGGTCCAATGAAACTGTGTTGAAACTTCCAAGTCTTCGAAGAAATATTCCCACAGCAGTCTGAAGCGAATTTTTCGGACTGCGCGAAGTTCAATTAGGATCGATTAGGATCCACAAAGCTAATAGTTCTGTGTCCATCTCGAAATTTCCATTTTTCGTTCGCCTCCAGCGCCAAATAACGTGCATTTTTTTCTCAAATATAACTTACATCCCAAATTTGACCCAGATCGGATCGTTAGATATATATCTAACATTTTCAAAATAACTTGACTCTAGCGCCATCTGGCGGTTTTATTTCGTGATACCATTTTACAACTTTGGTAAGCTGTTTTGTAAGTGCAAGGGGAAGAGGTAGCCCTATAAAAATGATTAGTACGATGAGCTGAGTTTATTTAGCCACGTTCGTTGTTATTGTTGCACGAAAATTCACCAATGAGTTTTTGTGGAGTCTGCCCTTGGCCAGATATAGATCTAGGTCTTTCCAGTTATGTAGACCCGACTGTTGTGGAAACGTAGCCACGTTCATCGGTCTTTAAAAAAACTAGGCGTACGATTGGGTTAAGGGAAAACGACTAATACATACATATTTTGTTGGATAAGTACTTCCATATTGCCCACTTTAAACGCCTACACGTCCTATAACTTACCTTAACGTTTTACTTTTTCTGCCTCATTTTCACAACTTGTTTTATGTAAAACTATTTGTTTCTCATTCTCATAAAATCTGCTTATTCATATATATATTATTATAAAATCAACGAAATTGCCACATGCACAAAAAAAAAATTAACTAAAATGTATGTTTACCACAAACAATTCGCTCAAAAAAAAGGATTATCCAATTAAATTCTCATTTGGTTTCGTACTATTTTATTTCTTTTCATTATTTTTGGCACTTCATTGCTTATTGCTGCGTCAATCCGCACCCGCTCCTCCAAAAAAAAAAACAAATGCTACACAAATTTCCTCTTTTGCATGCGCGGCTACAAAATCAGCAGTTCGGCTAGCCCCGAAAGTGGATTGGGTACATCGCACACCTCACTACCGGGTTCCGGACAGGGTAGTGCGAACGAGAATGCCATTGGCGAGGATGGTTATGATGAGACGGAAATTGAGGTACTGCAACCGTTGGGCACATGTCGAGCGCTCTATCCCTTCGAAGGTGAGTGTAAACAGACGGGAGTCTGTTGTGGAAAGAGACAAAAGTAATTGTTACTAATTAAATATCTTTTTTTTTTGTTTTAATCTAATAGCGACCAGCGAAGGCAGCATACCAATGATTGAGGGCGAAGAACTGCAAGTGATTGAAATCGATCAGGGCGATGGCTGGACGCGCGTGCGCCGTGCCAATGCCACCAACGGCTGGGATGAAGGATTTGTGCCGACTAGTTATATTGAATGTACACTGTATGCATAAGTCAAATAATTAATTAATTATTGCGTTTAGCAACATTTAAATTAATTAATCGATTAGTTTTGAGTTAATTTAAGTTACTGAGTTGATTTAAGTT